AAAACCACTGCAGCGCTCTTCTCTCCTTGGTGGCTACTCCATGTTAGTCACTGTGTGCTCCCACGCCCCTTCTAATTAAATGCAACTCCAAGGATAGGATTTCTTGCTTCGTATGACCTGAAAATGTAATCTGGTGCTTGTTTGTGGGTGCTGTGAAGAATCTTGCTGAGTTTTTGGAGAAGGGTTTTGCCAGCAGAATAATCCCAAGTTTTGCTTGGCTCCTAAAACTGGTGTTGGCTCTGGCAGAGATTCAGGTGTAGTCCCTTCTTCCCCTCTGCACACCAAGGATGGTTTGATGTGCATTCCTAGCTATTCTAGCTCTTGCAATACTCCCTTTCTTTCCAAAATTAATTGTTTCAGCTGGTAGATTTCATCACTACTGGAACCTGTGCATTGATGGTGTTCTGGTGTCTGTACTTAGTACTGGACAGCAGTGATATTATCACTGCTTCAATTATCAGGAACTGTGAGGCAAAAGGATCAAAGGTGTGACATGTTCAGTAAAATAATAACGTTCTGATGTAACTGAGATTAAATCTTAGTATCTTTGCAAGACTCTGTGTTAATGCAATGTTTCAGTAAATTTGAAGTAAAAAAGACTTCAAAGCTAGAGGTTACAAACAACTAATTGCTTCAGGTTATTTAGATGAAAAGAGAACATAAAGAGATACCAGCAGTGTCCATTTAGCTATCAGTGATCTCTTCCCAATTAGTAAGACCCATTAGGTAAACACTGTTTGTACAACTACCTGCTGTTGCACTGAAAGGGTTTGCACAGGGTGTATCAATGTGACAGGAATCTTACCCCAGGGAGACCATTTGTGCTGAGTTCTCGGAAGGTCAGATGTACTTCAAAGTGTAAGTCAGAGAGAAATCAAGATTTAGATTAAAAAAGGAGTACTTCAGAGCTGATGAATCACATAAGACCATGAGCATTAGACGATACCGCTTTTAGAGTCCGACAATTACTGTCTTCAGTTGGAAGGGGTAAAAAATAGAACATTTTAAACTCATACATAATTATCTTATGCACTAAGAACTCCTGAAAATATTTATATGGCTTTTTATTATTATTATTCAGCTCCTGTTTCCTAGAAGATTGACACGGGAGATTAAAGGTCTCACATGCAGCCATAGATGGAATAGGGCTGAGAAAAATACTGAACTTCCCTCTCGCTAACTTGGTTTTGTTCACCCTTTCCTTCATCCTCCTTTTTTCTTTTTTTCCCCCTTTTCCAATGAAAAACTTCAAGCAGAACCAAGGAACTTGACATTTCACAAAACATAAGGACAGGAGATGACGTTTAAACCTCTAGCCAAGCAGGCTAATAACGCAAATCTTTCTTGCTAATGAAATACAAGGTACTACAATGCAGTAAAGCCTTTTTCTCACCTTTGTCCTGTCCTCTCTGTGTGCTGTAAAACCTTGTCCAAAGCCCTTGAAAATCAGCATCAGTCTTTGTGCTGACTCAACTGGTTTCTGGATGGAGCACTGGGCTATGTGACGGATTGCTGAAAATTTTCTTGCAGATTATTTTCAGGGATGGTAAAGAGAGGTATGTATTTGCATGTGCCACTGACGTATTATGACAGCCTAATGCTTTCCACAGTTGGTGAAGCACATTTTTGGGGAGATGCAGAGACTAATGTAACCAGAAGGGAATTAGTCAGCTGTCTAGCTGTCACCTGCCTTCATACTTCACTTGTTTTTTATGCAGACATCTACAAGAGAGGTACTAGCAAAGACAAACGGTACAAACACCATAACGTTTGGGGGAGTGTTTATTCCTTTTTTGGTTAATGCAGCAGAAGGCTGCAATAGTTATGAGTTCAGCTTTAGATTTATTGTTTCCAGATTTGTTGTAGTGATACTTATGCGTTTCTCTAATCTGACTCCATGAGAGAGGGGAAGAAAGTTCAGTAGGATGCGTGTGCTGCTGCTAGCAGATAGGCAACAGGGAATAAGCAGACACGTGCTAGATATGCTAGAACCTCAGAAATGGTTGGCAATAACAAATGACAGCCATCAGTCCTATGCTTCATCTGTGCCTCACAGGGGCACTGCTAAGGGAGATGTTGAGTGTATTTCCTTGTCCTTCTTCATGAGGCAGATGCCATTTAAATGCAGCAGCAAGTCTGACTTGGGAGAGCAAAACGGAGTAGAGCTTCTGCTGCTCAGCTGTATGGCAGGGCAGGAGCAAGGGGGGTGGCGGTGCAGATTTTGGCTGCCTTTGAGCAACCACATCCTGTCAGGCTGTGGAAACATCAGACTAATGTAGAGATCTGTCTGAGATGTAGACGTGCATGTGGGAATCTGGCAGATAATTTGCAGACGCATTTATATTCCTACAGGAGGAATTCCTGGTGCAGGGAAGGCTGCTGCCCTCACTCTTGGTCGGTCTGTTCACCCAATTCCCACCCACATCCCCATTCTCCGTAGCACTTAAGTACAGTGCAGACAGATTTATTTCTACAAGGGTGTTTTCCTTTCTTCTAGTACTGTGCAGGAACAATGTGTGTGGCACAACAGAGAACTGATATCCAGTCTCCTACTTAACTCATTGTCCAGATCAAGACATGCAGTATAACGTTATGTGAAAGTGTTGCATAACAAAGATAATAAAGGGCAGATTGGTTATGATGATGGTTAAATTCTGTTGACGTTGCATGTTGAAATCTAAGTGTTCACAGGAGCTTTACTGAGCCCAGTGGGTATGGGAAAGCTGGGTGCTTTCCGACACAAAGCCTGACAAGGAAGTTGTGCTGTGCATGAGTGGCTGCTAGTAGCAAATGGTATTCATCCAGTGTCAGATGGAAGTGAAGGAACTTTCTTTTTACTGTTTTATATATGTATGTATGTATGTATATATAAGGGAGGTATAGGCAAGGCCTATGGTAGTAGACCAGGCTACAAGGCCTGACTGTTGTGGCCAAAAAAAATTAAGAAATTTCAGTACAGGAAGCTGAGAAATATTTCGGGAAATCTTGTTCTTAGTTGCTGTTGACCAGAAATTGCCTAAACACAAACTTACAAGCTTCATATTCCTATTTTTGTGGGTGTTTGTGTTTCACAGAACCCTCCTAGGACTGAGCACAAGAGGAAGTGCACCAGCCAGCCCGAGTAGGTTTTTCAGTTTCCCCATCAGACCCGGTGTGGCTTTCTCCTTTCCAAGTACAGTTTTAATCCAAGACTACGGTATCTGGCAAGATGAAGCATTTTCTCACTAAGGCTGCTGCACACCTGTTTTGATGATACTTGCTAATATCTTAGTATGGAAAGTTGACATAATGCTACCAGTTTGAGAGCTGCAGATGTGGTCATTACTTGGAAAATTAGCTCTGCGTATGGATGTTTTTGTGCCTTTTGTTTCCCAGAAAAGACTGCTGACTGTGCTGTGGGGAAACGTGCCATGAAGGGGGAATGGCTTTAAACTAAGACGGGGGAGGTTTAGGTTGGATATTAGGAGGAATTTTTTCACACAGAGGGTGGTGATGCTCTGGAACCAAGGAGGTTGCAGATGCCTCATCCCTGGAGGTATTCAAGGCTAGGATGGATGTGGATCTGGACAGCCTGGTCTAGTGATTGGCAACCCTGTACACAGCAGGGGGGTTGAAACTAGATGATCATTATGGTCCTTTTCAGCCCAGGCCATTCTATGGTTGTATGAAAGTCCTGTTACATGAGCCAGGGCTGAGAAGCAGTTGAGTAGAACAGCTCAACTATTGAGCCAGCTCAAAACAGCGTGGTAGTTTAGAGGCCTCTGATGTAGCTGCCTGTGATATTCTGTGAACAGGAGGGGAGGATGTTGTACTTTGAGAGAAATTTTGGACTCCTTTACTGTGACGGTAATAACTATGGCAGTGATGGCTGATCTCAGCACTTCATGCAAATGCCACTTTAAATGGATGGTGTACATATAAAGATAAGGACTTCTCTGCAGTGAGTGCTGTCCCCCTAATACAGAGTGCAAGCACTTTTCTTGTCATATCCACCAAGTTTAACTGCAGGGACAATTCTGTGTTGAATGTGAAATCCTCAGAAATACGCCTTGCTCAGTGCAAGAAGTCCCCTTCATTTTCTCTCTTCTCTTTTTTTGCTGGTCTCAGCTGGAAGTAACTTCTGTTTGTTTCTAGTCTCTGTGGGGTGAGCGTGGGTTTCTGCAGAGCCTGGACAGGACTGCCAGGCTGAATTTCAGGGTCGCATCAGCAGGATGTGGCTGCGCTGCGCTCCTTAGCGACTGCTGTGACACAGAGCAGCCTGCTGCTGCCAGCATGGTGCTGCCGTGAGGAGTACCGTAGGGGGTGCAGCTACTGAGAGCAAAAGGGCCTGAGTTCAGATGAACCGAGCGGCTCTTGGCTTCCATCTTGCTGCTCTTTTATTTTTTGCTTTCTTTCCACAAGCTGGTGTACAGTGACACGGGCTCTCTAGTAAGACTTGTTGAAAATAGACGGAGTCAAAACGCAGTTTCTGTTAATGTAAGTCCCATTTGTAATGATACCACAAAAGCCTAACGCAAACGTCTGCCTCCTTGCTGGCTTTTCTTCCACGGAAGACATTGCTCTTTCTTTCACTGCTCGCAGTCCCTCCATTCCGTGACAGCGGGTCAAAAAGTCACGGCGGAGCTACAGCGTCCGCGCCTCGGGGCGGGGGGACGCGCGGGCACGGCGGGCCGGGCGGCGCACAGGTGCCCGCGGCTCCAGGCCTCGGCGCGGGGCCGCCCTCGAGGCTCAGGGCGGGCTCTGGCGGCACCGCCCCCGAACGCGGCCGCGCGGGGCAGCCCCGGGTCCGCGCCGCCGAGGCAGCGGGCGGCGGCGCGAACAAAGGCAGCGGCAGGCGGCGGTGCGGCCCGCGCGAGGCGGCTCGTCCGCTCCCGCTTCTTCCTGGGCTGGGCCGCGCCGGGCGAGGCGAGGCGGCCTTCGCGGCCCCGCCCCGCCGGCGCGGAGCTGCAGCTTCAGCAGCAGAAGCGGCGTCGGTCGCGGGGCGCGCGCGCCGCCCGTCGCTGGAGCTGCATGTGCGCGGGAGGAGCGGCGGCGGAGGAGGAGGATGGCCGTGCTCAAGCTCGCCGACCAGGTGGGTGCCGGGCGGGAGGGGAGCGGCGGGCCCCGGCCGCCGGGAAGGGCCGGCAGCGGGTGGGAGAGCGACGGCCTCATCCGGGGCGTCCCCGGCCGCGGGGGGCGGCTCTCGGCCGCTGCCCGCCCGAGGGGTCGGCGGCTCTGGGCGGCCCGCGGCTCTGCCCGCCCGGCGCCGGGCTGCCGACCCGAGCCGTGCTTGTTTGTCAGGGCCGTGAGGGAGCTGCAGCTCGGGTCGGGTAAATGGCGGTGGGCGGGCGGCTGTGAGCGGTGCTGAGTTATTTCTCGTCTCTTAAAGCGAAGAGCTTTTAATGCGTGTTGTCGGTGGGTGTTTCGGTTCGTGCGCACCGCTTTATCCGCGTTCTCGGCTGGCTGCTGCTCGCCTTGCCGTGCGTAACGCGGTGCCCGCCGGTAACCGAGCCGTGCCGAGCCGAGCCCCGCGGCCGCTCTCAGCGGCACTGCCCTGCCCGGGGCTGCTGCGAGAGGAAAAAAGGGCGAAGCGGCTCTTGGAGAGAAAGCAGCGCCGTGTGACCCGGCTCTGTCCGCAGCGCATCGCTGCGTTGTGCGAAGCAGTGTCTGTGGGCTCCCGGCGCGGCACCCGCACCTCGGCTGTGCTGTCTACCTGCGGGCTCCTGGCCCGGCCGTGCAACAGGCAGACGGGTTTTCTTGGTGGGTAGCCCATCTCTGGTCACCTGCCAGAGGAACGAACTGCTCTGTTGGAGTGCTTCTTATTGGGTCCCGTGTGGTTTTATTCTCAGTTTCTTCACTAGGTCCTCTTTCACTTCCCTGGGAGCAAAGCAGTAGGAGATGCTCCAGGCTGCTGTGTAGTCCCTCACAGCAGGGCTGAGTGCTCAGTCTGCCTTGCTGCACGCTCGGAGCTCACGTGCCATACTGAATCTGCCTGAGTTGCTGCAGCTGTTGGAGGTGAAGTGGCAGCAGCTGCCCACGTACTGCAGCTGCCCAGGTGGAGCTGGGCTGAGGAGAGGTGCGCTGGGAGGCTCTGTGTAACAATCTCTGCCTGCACTTGGACTCGCTGGGGTTGTTTCTGCTCTTCTTCCTGCTCTGGAACGCAGAGTGAGCTGTGCAGTGATAGCTTGAGGCAGTTCAGGAAGCGATTTCCTTTGGCTCAGATGTAGGCAACCGCAGCCGCCTGTGTTGGCAGCTCCCTGCCACAGAGTTGCCATATGTAGGGTGCTTCTGTGGCTGTGACCTGGGCTGCGCTGTGTGCAGATGCTACAGGCGAGTCTGTGATGCCTAGGGAAGGCCAGCTGAAACCAGCCATTCCCCCCTGCCTCTGGCTGTGATTCTGCAGTGCATGCTGCTGTGTGACCAGGGCATTGGTTGGGAGGAGAGGTGTGTGTAGGAGGAGACTGTAGATCCTCACATGGGAAGCTTAAGCACATTTCTCCAGGTACCCTGTTTCCTCCCTGCCTTCCTTGCTACATGTTATCTGTAGCATCCGGTAGAATGCAGAGCCTTCAGGCAGCTGAGAAACCAAACCCAGGCTTGAGGGCAGACAAAGCAGACTTCCCTTATTGCTTCTCTATTGCTGCTGGTAGGTGCTGAAGTACTACTGTGCTTAAATCTCTAAAGAGATGGTCACTGCTGTCTGTACAGGTGGGAGAGCTCAATTCCAGATTGTTGCATGTTTTATTTTGGGCATGTAGGTTACTTGAACTTGTTTCTGAGTGGGCACAACTGCTAGCTCATCTGTTGTGCCATGAGAAACCCTTAAACACCAGAAGTGCATCTCTGCCATTGTTCATTTCTGCGTGAATTTCCTTCGGGTCTGTCTGCCTTCACTAGTCCTTTTGAAAGGCTGAACGTTAAATTGAAAGCAGTCTGAGCCTATTTGACACAAAGGTTAAAATGCTGTGACGATGATGTGTCTGTGCAGTTGTACAAGTTCTAAATGTTTCTGCTGTCACAGGAAAATACTGCAAGAAGTATTCAAAAACTTAAAACTTTTTTGACCTGTTTTTTTTTTTCACCACTTTTGCAGTGAATATTGATCACAGCAAGCATGCAAATTGCTTTAAAGCACTCAAAGTGTATATTTTTTGCATTCTCAGAGTTACTGCTCTGATGTTCTTCCTTGTGAGTCTCCTCTCCCTTTACTATCGTTCTCCCAAGTGCTGTGGCTGCTCCTCCAGCAGCCTGGATTCTACCTTGCCCCTGGAGCTCCCTGCCCGCTGCTGGCAGCTCAGGCACGGCCTGTCTTCCATTGCTTGCCCTCACACGGGGTGCTCTGTTTCCCGAGAGCCATTTGCGTGTTTATTGTTTGCAGGCTTTTCAGGAGAGAGCCAGGATGTCCTGCTGAACGTGCCTTTAATCCTCAGGGTTTCCACTGATGGCTGTGGACAGCAAGTGCACTGACAAGTGCTACTGTCAGCGCTCTGATGAAAGGTTAAAACATCACACAGTCCCACTGGCTGGAGCTTGCCAGAGGCTACATGCACCTCGCTGCTGCTGAGCTATATGTACCTCGGTGTTTTTGGCCCGTATGTAGGAAACATCACAATAATAGGTTACCCTTATGAGTGTGGTGGGGGCAATGGAGCCTGGGTAGATGGTTGAGGCATGCAGCGAGGCCACTGTTAGCTGCAGAACCTTGTTCTGTCCCCCCAGTGTTCGCTTGTTGTCCTCAGTGGCTGAAAGCAGTGGAGCCAAAGGGGCTGTTTCTCCGCCTTTCCCAGGTGCTTTCCTGGGTCTGACAGTTCTCGCTGACCATCAGGATCCATTTTATTATGGTCACAGAGAAACAGCACTGAACAGATGTTTAAAATGATTTTAAACAGATGTCAGAAATCGTAAAAATCATCTGGGAAAAGGTAGGGCTTGATCTGAATACACTTAAAAGGGAAATGAGGAAACAGTAACAAATAGTCTCCTAACGGAGCTGATTACATTTCCAAATGATGGTGCTTTTAACTTATTTCAGAGTCACTCGAGTGGCACAGCTGTCTGTTTCATTTCTCTCAGATAAGGAGAGCATCTCAGAAGGTGCCCCCGATGTGCCGTGCAATGTCAGAGTGGTGAACCTGTGCACAGCCCACAGATCAGACTGTGGGGTCCTGCGGTTCCTTCCCTGCTGTCAGCATTGCTGGGTGATGCTAAGCTGTGTGTTCATGTGGGCCAGCACCCTGCCCCATGGAGTTGGGTGCAGGTCAGGTGTGGCCAGGATGTCACGTATCTTGTGGCCGTGTTTTCCTCTCCGCCGAGCTTCCCTTGCCAGTCCCCATCCCTTCCTGCAGGGCTATTAGGAACAGCAGGATGGTTTTGGTAGCTGGAAAGCTCGGGCTAAGCGGTTCCCCCAGCTGCTGCCTGTGGCCTCAGCCTGGTTCTAGCTGCTGCACTGGGACGTGTAGCAGCCTGCTGCTTTGCCCTGCAGCTGCTGATGGGTGGGAATCAAAGAATCACAAAATGACTTTCAAAAAGGGGAAATTATTTTGCAGTTTAATCCAAGGGTTTGAGGTCACTACTAAAGTTTGCGAGGAGCTGGTCAACAAATTACAGCATTTAGTTGTGGCTGGGTAATTGGGACGTTTTGAGAAGGTGCGTGCTTTTTGACGGCGTGTGTTTTGCTTTGAGGGGAAGAAGTTGCTCCTTTCTGCAGCTGTACAGCCAGAAATGGAGGCTGTTTGCGTGGCCTTGCCTCACAGCACTGAAGCTCCGAGCCTAACGTGAGCTGGATGTTTGTGCTTTGTGTTATGAGCCAGCTTGATGTGCGGACATGTGTTCCTGTGCTGGAATGATTTGTTATGGCTTGCTTCTGAATTTTAAAGGAAGTGCTTGGATAATGCCCCCACCCTCCCTGCAGCTGCGTGCTGCTGCATCCCTATGAGGAAGGAAGTACAGCAGTGGTGGGTGCGCAGCTCTGACAGATGCACCTGACTGGAGCTGTGTGCTGAGCTGGGCAGGCGGCTTTTTGCATAAATAAATTGGTTTCTCACAAAAAGAAAATGCTTGTGCTCTTGGATGATGTCTATTGCAGGATTGCTGCAAGGTCTGTGTCTTGATTACTTCATTGGCACAAAAATCTGCAGATAACCAGTATGATGGATAATCTAATGTTTAGGCATTGCCACTTCTCTTCTGGCATGTTCTGTGACCTCATCTAATGACTGTTTTTCCCCCCTTGTGTTGCAGCTGTTATAACTTCAAATACTTGTTGCTTTTTCCAGTGTTTTTTGTCCATGCGAAGACTTTGAGCAGAAATATCACGTGGTGCCTCCTGAGTTGCACACCTGTAGCTGGTGTCTCTGTAATCAAAGTATTTGCTGTAGAGAGAGAGAGTAACAAGAGCAGACCATGTAACTTAAAGACTTTTAATAGCACAAAGGTAAATGTGAGGCGTTGCTGCCTTCCTGAGCTGCAGGCTGTGTCCTGGCTCCCCATCCTCAGACCGAGCTCTGTGTTGGCTCTGGGCTGACTCTGGGGAGATTGTGGCAGCACCTGTGGCTCTGTCTGTCTATGGGTGAAGTTTGGTTTTCCCTTGTAACAGACAGGTGGGCAACGTGTGCTCTTCACTGTATTTTCGTTCTTCCGTTCCTAGCTGTGGGCCAGCAGGATTTAGGGGCTGAAGCCTGTGATGGTACCAGCAAAACACTGATTTGCTCAGTGTGTTCTTTGCTTGCTTAGCATGCTGTGGGTGAAAAGGAGAGAACAAAGGCCTGAAATACCCTGTATTATCTTTGTACTTCCAGCGGCCTTAATGCGCTTGCCAGTGAGACACTCAGCATTTATCTCTAATTTAAAATCAAGAGAGGGACTTATTTAGTCATTGACTCCAGGAAAGTGTCCAAAAAGCCTCAGCAGCCACGTGGGTACAGTGCCAGAGCCCATAAGCATCCTTTCTACCTCAGTGGTGTACATAGGTGAGCGGCCCTGTGGCTGTCCTCCCCACTGGTGGTGAAGCTGAATGATTTCCATGGCAAAGTTCAGGCTGAGGACACAGCAGAGGCAGTGAGAACCCAGCCCCAAGTGCTACTTTCCATGGGG